AGTTAAAAGATCAGATAAATAGGATGGGGTCAGACCATAAGAGCTATAAAAACTAACATTAAAAGTTTTAAATCCTAGCCAGCTGTCCACAGCCACTAACATCTACAACAACTCTTTGAACAATCTTGGGTAAAATGAGTTAAAACAAAATGTAATTTCCGTGTTGCAATTCATAAAGCATTTTTGAATTTAATTTGAATTTCCAACAGCACGTAAAGGCAGCTTCCAGCTCGCACTGACGTCAGGTCGTTCTAACGGTTATGGCGGCCAACAAAGGATCAGGATGCCGCGATGATAATCAGTGTGTTGTAAAACTGCGAGTGACTTTTAAAGACTGAAACAAAGATCCCTACTATAAAAAAATACACCTCGGCATTTCAGACAGAACTGGCGGGTTTCTGCTGGGTTTCAGCCATATTCAGAGACAGCTCTGTGTACGTCAGTTGCCAGGCAACGGCTGGAGACGCTTTCTATCCAAACCTTGAATTTTTCTTTTGGTGGCGAAAACCTGTTCGTGAAGCAATGTCTACTGAAAAACAGGCAGTTGGAAGAGAAGCTGACGATCTTCCGGTGAAACAACTAGCAACAGACTTATCGGATGATTTAAAAATGTCATCCGAGTTCGGATCTCTAGTGAAAGTAGTCTGGATGCTGCTCGATAAGTTTTCATCTGACTGCCGATGTGTGGACGAGTTCATAGAGGATGTTTCCACGGATTTACAGGTGGTACATAAATGTAAAGTCACACTAATGCTAGAGATTATTACTACGACGGCGTATTAGAGCCATTGTAGATAGAAAAGAGTAGCACATTTCCATTAAAAAATCAGAAATTTTGAGATTAATCTTAGAAATTTTCGAGAAAAATAATCTTGGAAATTCTCAAAAGTCGAACATTTTCAACTTTTGACACTCAGAAATGTCCAGATTTTTTGTAGAAAATCTTTCATTTTAATCTCAAAATTTCTGAGTTTTCTTTTATATTATGTATATATATATATATATATATATATATATATATATATATATATATATATATATATATATATATATATATAAAAAATTTTGACTTTTCAAACTCAGAAATTTCCAAGTTTTTTCTAGAAGATTTCTGCTATTTTTTGTTGGAAATTTGCTTCTTTTTTCCATCTGTTATCTGTTGCAGAGCTTTGATCCTCTGGAGAGGAAATTTATCCTGGACGTTTTTTCTGGATGTGTTGAGTATGAAAAGCTGCTCGATATTGTTGTCAATACTTTCTATGGTCAGCATAGAAAGTGGTTGTGCAAAAGTGATCGTAACCAGTTCATCGGTAAGTAAACCTTAATATCATCCAGTGGTGACACTAATGGGGGGTCCAGGGGCCAAGGCCCCCGCTTCAAAAATGTTGGCCACCCCACTGGCCATATGTAGTTATTCTTTTTTCAATCAAGAATGATTGAAAAAAGAATCATTCTTGATTG